CCCATGCTGTTTTTGCAAACAGCAAGTGGCTTACCACTCTGAGAACAGCCATAGTCGTGACAGAAGTGCTGACTTTTTATTAGCTTGATTTTTGTGCTCAGGGGGAAGCCACAGTAGATCGGCAGCTACAAACCCTTTCCTGTGATCACAGGAGCACTCACTCTTATATCTCTGTTGTTTATTCCCAAAGAAAAGGGTCGAGTCTCTGCTTCCATATATTTAATTGCTAACATTATCACAATCATTTCTGTCGAGTCAGGAGACTCCAACCGTATCTGGCTAAGGATACAATATAGAAATGGTCTGGCCCTGAAGGGCTTCTACTCTGAATATATCACTAGAGACAAGCAGCTAAAGAAAGAAAACCAGTAAAAACAAATAAACAAAAACCAGATGGACCTTATATGAGAGAGAAAGAACAGGACAATAGCTATGAGCAGCATCATATACAATAAGCACAACTGCTCATGGGTGAATGTCTGATTTATAAAGATTCTGAGCTCAGTGATGTGAATTAGCAATGCCTTGAGAAAGCTTCTTGCAAAGGACTTTGGGGCAGAAATGTAAAATTCCTGGATCCCAGTCAGGCTTAAGCATGAAATAAATAGTGCTGTAAGACTGCCCTGCCAGAAACTATGAACCTCTCCTGAACACACAAATGGGTTGAAAACTGAAGTAGCACTTTAAGGTCAGAAAGTAGAGTCTGGTAGTTTAGCAAGCATTTGAAGACCATAGCTTTGGACTTAGGCAGCTAAGCTGCAACTCAGACAACTTCAGGTGCCTTCATTTCTTTTCATTATCATCTCTTGGGAAAATGTGGGAGGCAAAAATGACTAGACTAAGAAAAACAGTATCATTAAGGGTTACGGTGCATGCAGAATTCATTAGCCACAGTATGTGTCCAATAAAAGAGTAATTAATGAATCATTAGTAATGGCCACCAAACTTATGGGAAGTATCTTTTTGTAATTACTCTTTGGCAGGAAAAAAAAAAAACAAAACCAACTGAAAAACGTTGCTAGTAGGAAATAAACTATATCGCCACAAAATAAACAAGCTACGAAGCTTGATGAAGATTATAGGGTTAACGTGAATAAGGGTACACTTTCTGATATTCTTCCCAGTCCTTTTGAAAAGATTGAAGGTGGCAAGATGTACTGAAAATAAAATTAATGTCTTCTTTAAAGAAATTACTGTTTTTTAAAATAATAAACTCAAACTTTTCAGGAAAAATTCAGATGAGAGTTACGCATACTGCCATCACTTTGTTCTTCCCTGGCAGTTAATAGTTAAGCTAGACATATTTTGAGAATTGCACATGAAAAGTAAAATACTGGCATGGTACTAATTCTCATTGCTTCATGTCATATCACAACATGCATGTCAAAGGAGTAGCCTCTTCTCATGGTAAAATCTTTAAAATAAAACTAAAGCATAATTATGTTTATAAATTATACTAACAAATTACTTATACTATAAAGTATTATTATAAGTAAAAGTAAAGTAGACCTAAAATAAATATAGATTTAAGAGTTTTATTCTATAATTGCATCATGTTTCACTTGCTAATGATGACAACAGAAGGCAAAAGTGTACTATTGATGTGTAATTCCAAGACTGCTAATATGCCAAAATGGCGTATCATGCAGATATCAAGGGAATCCATCCTGAGATTAGTGCATACCCACTTCTACTTTCACTGGATTTACTACTAATAAAGACAAAGAAAACTAGCACCCTTCTGATTTGGTGTGGCTATTTTCCTATGTGGCACACTGATACTCCTCATTGTAAGAGCTCTGACTTGGACAGCATCTCAGGCCAACCATTCCAATATTACAGCAGCAGCAAACATGGTACAAGAATTTTAGGAACTATTTAGCCTAAGCCAAAACCACTACCAGAAACAGTGGTCCCTGCCAGTCCTGCTCTGACAACTCATTTCACTTCTAGGTGAATTTGGCTTTGGAACAGATTCCGGTTAAAATAGCTCCTAGCTCCTCAACATCACCACCACCCTCGCAGGTGTAATTTTGACCTGAAAGTATTTCTCCAGCCCAGGTCACCATGCCATCACCTGAATGTTTGTGTTGACACAAAGGATGGTGTAGAAATGAGGAAATGAGCAGATAAAGGTAGAAGGGCAGAAGCACTTCTAGCCAGCTTATTCCAGTGTAACCTTCTCATGGATCTATGAGTCCTTTTTGCTTGTTAATCCACTGTTTCCTTCCTTGTAAGCACTTATATGAAATGGCCTTTCTAGCTATGGAAAGCTTCTCTGAACTCCCCCATCTTCATTCAGCCTGTGATTCCACATTGGAGGGAAGCTTATTTCTTTACTTTTCAAATTTGTTACTAGGCACACTCATCACGCTATACATGCATGCACAGAATTCTATCCACAACTCAGCTTTATAACTGCAGGTATTTTAAGATTACAGATCATAGGCCAAATGTACAGAATTTCTTACTCAGGAATGAAGAGGATGCTTGATAAGAGAGGTTGGAGAAAACAAAGTAAAACACATAAGCTTGGAGTATTTCAGAACTGCAGAATTGCAGTTATTTGGTTCTGAGAGGAAATGAAACTGAGATCTTGAAAACTTCTCCACAAACCCCTCTTCAAGCGAAAAATCAAAGAAAAACCACATGACCTCAGGGCCAGAAAAGAAGCCCTGATCCATGCTGCTTATTAGCATAGATGTAACCAATGAATCATCTCTCACAGTGGTGGAAGAACATTCTCTGGCTGATAGCTAATGCTGTTTTACAGCTGAAATAGCAAGAAAGCAGAAATCCACTTTGATCACACCCACAAGTTCATGCACACACACACGACCAGGTGACAGCAAAGGGGTAGATGAATAACTTAAGTTACATCAAGAATATTGTTCAGATTATTAATATTATTGTCAGAAAAGCAATAGAAATTTCCTGTATATCCTTTACTTTCCAGACATGCCTTATTTATATTCTACCAATGGACTAACATGATGAGAATATCCCATTTTTAATACCTCTTTATGAACTTCTAAAAGATCTCAATTCCCTTCTGTTTTCTCATTTAGAGCTAGCAGAAGCAAGCTATTTACAAAGAACTGTTTCTAGCTGTTTTAGTAAGTTGCAGCTATACTTATCTCCTACTGCAAATTACCAGATGCTTTCCTTTCAGCTTCCATTTTCACAAGTGACCTTTACATGTAATTAATTAGCCACATAAAGGATACTTTAGGACAGCATATCTACGGGTTGCCTTGATGTGATATGCAAATGTCTTGCCAAGCACTGATGCCATCAACAAAGCACCTTCTTGTCACATTCTCCATCAGGTCACTGATTTATAGTAAGGTACAGTGGGCTCGGCAGGGATCAAGACAGTGGGGCTTAACACATGCTTTGACATCCTGATACAAAATCATCAGTAGCAACTATTCCTTGATATCAAAGCCATTTAAGTACATTGAAATACAATATTCTTTGTGGACTACTACATAATACTTAGCTTGGCAGTTAGCCTTTTTCTTGAAGTGTGCACAAATATTATTTTCTGCTTCTTCTCCGTCTACACTTATAGGCAACTTCACAAAGACATTAACCAATTAGCAGTGTCCAAAGTTCCTACTTTAAAGAAAATGCTGAAAACAGTGCCTTAGGGTATTTCTTATTTTTATCAACATGAATATACCTAAACACGAGTTAATATTTATGAGAAGGTAATATGAACATACAGTAATGCTTTCCTAATACTGCTAGTACCTCTGCTTAAATGTCACTGCTCACTGGATAAATAACTATTCCATTCTGACTAGGTTATAAAAAGGTTACCATTTGCTTCAACCAATCAACAATCAGTTCCACACATAATTAATTTATACATTTATAATTTAGAAACTTATAAGCTATGTTTTTTCATAAACTACGCTTTTAAAAGAAACATTTAATTACAATATTCAGATGTATTTGAAGACTTAATATACAGAACTTCAAATATTCATGGAAGTCTGTATCCACATAAACATAATGCAATAAAAATGGAAATGGATACATATGATTGTATTTACATGTTCATTTTCTTGTAACTCTAAAACAGCATTATTAGCTGCTTTTGAGTATCATATCCTCTCCATTTCATAGTATTAAATTTCCTTATAATTAGAGGTAGTTCAAGAGCAATTACAAGATTTGTCAAATGGATCAGCCTTTATTCCTGGTCAAATTAAAATCAACATTTTTTTTTCCTGTCTCCCATTAAGTTCGGCAAACCCTTGCCAATATTTCAGCCAACAGCAATTGTCAAAGTGAAAAGATTGAGCAACAAATTACTTTGAGCAACTACATCAAATTCACCAGACTCATTGCTTTCAGGTAGGATGAAGGAAGAAAAGGGATTAACAGATTAAAAGTTCCAAGTGAATTCAAAGTTTGACCATTATAAACCCAGCATATTTGGATGAAACTCTGTTTCACTGGAGATTTCTAATACATTTATTCACAATCTTGAAGTTATTTATCACTGCAATAATGCTGTGGATAAAGGTACTGGTTAAAGTCCATTTTGAAGTTGGAGAGCTAAGTAACAAGCTCATGGCCACACAAACATGTGAAGCAGAGTGGAAGCTCCAATACAGGTGCCCCAACTCAGAGGTTTATAATTCAGTCAAGGACTTCCCATTTTTATTGTCACTAGATTCTATTTCTAATCCTGATCCATGTAATATTAGCAAACACACACAGCAGTTTTGAATTCTTTACCATTAACTCTTTGCTCCTAATTAGATGCAGCTAGATGGAGTGGCAATTCCCCAAGAGAATTCATGAACTTGAGATGTAATTAAACCTTTTCCATTTCTATTTTGCTTTAACATATGATACAGAGATCAGTACACAGAAAGAAATCAGTTGGAGGAAAAAATAAAATGGAAATCTCAACTGTTGAGTCCTGGGGGAAACAGCTGAAAGGCAGGAGTTACAAATTGGTTAATAGAAAGATAAATTTTCACCTGAGGATAAAGCACTGGGGACGCTGCTCCTGGAATAGCATGTGGTAAGCTCTTTCAGCACAGGAAAATATATGTGGGGGAAGTGAGGAACACAATTTTCCAGAGTTACTTAAATAAAGCTGGGTGACCTAAAAAATTATAGAAAATTAACATGATCAATACATTTCAAACTAATTATGTTTCATCCCCTTAATCCTGGGTCTTTTGTAAGCCTCTCTAAGCATTATGAACAGAATCTCTGTATGTACATATGTGGTACCATTACAGTATCTATGAAGATTTTAATTAAAGAAAACAGAGCTGTAAGCATAGAAGATCTAATTAAGATACAAAATTAAACATAACTAGAGGACTCAACAATACTGGTTTGTGCACTGAGTAAAACAGAACCCAATAAGTTACTTTTTAATATCTCACGTTTATAGTTCTTCAGTGTCTTGACTTAAAAAATCTTACAAAATTAAATATGATCATCCCATGAAAAGTTAACATTTAAATTAAAGGCTTAAGTTATAAATTAATTCATTTATTACATGATCCCACAAATACTCTCTCTGCAATACAGAATAACTTCTGTGATACAGGTACTATCCTTATAACATGTACTATCCTTAAAGCTTAAGTATGAGTAGAATCAATTATCTGCTTCTGAAACCTTATTTTTTTTCTGAGGATATCCTGATGTTCTTTCAGCTAATACCAAGCAGATTTTAGAAAAATTAGACAGTCTGCTAATATCTACAATTGTGTTCTCTCAGAATAAATAAATATAATAAAGAAAATACAGAATGTGATTTCAGATAAGATTGTGAGCAGAAACAACATACCATTTTACAAATATCCTTAAAATAATAATTTTACCTACCTTTCTATATAGCCTTTCTCAGACCATCTCATGGGTTTAGAAAATTAACACAGGCTCTACAGAAACCCATGGCAGCTGGGGGACAACTGGAACACTATGAAGCATCTAGAATGATACTGGATGCTATCACTTAAACTACCAAATCCCTTCCTTTCCATCCTGTCCTATTTTCTCCAACTATTCTCTCTAACAACCCTTCCACCACAGTGCCATTTTGTATTTGCTCCTGTTTCCAAACTAATCGGGTGCTTATCACCCCTTCCTGTCCCATGCCTGTCTTATTTATTTACATATTAAACTATTGAATCTTGGGGCATCTACAACACTGTGGCTGAATGAATCCTCCCCAATACGGCCCTATTCTCATTCAGGCCTTTGAAGCTACCAGACTAACCAAGATTAAATCCACACCAATTCTCAAGGAATCATTGCAGCACGTCACAAAGCAGAAAGAAAAACCTTCATATACTTATTCTCATTGCATAATGTTGCAAGTGCTTTGCAAGTTCACATGTTTTTCTAACACAGAAACTTCAAGAATATATTTGCCCTAATCGGACACAAATAAATTCTGCACAAATGTAACAAAGCAGGATGACCATAGCACAAACTGCTTCTACAAACAGTTACTTTGAAGTGATGTCTGCATGTTCCTAGTAGCATAGTGCTACTATAATGTATAGTGTAGTAGTACAGTGTATTTCTGTGTAAAAATGCATTAATATTGTCAACTAGCAATTGCACTGAATTTCATACAAAGCACTGTATACCAGTGTCCATTAACATATGATTCTTTATGTCATCTCAGAGTGAATAATTGCTTACAAAAAGATTTATTTTAGTAGCATTCTGTTGGAGCTAAGTGTGGGAGGTCAGTGTAGGACAACAAAATAAAAATTGCTGAGCACTTATGAAAAGTGTTTTTAAAAAAGAGAAGAAAACCTAAAGAGGTTAAACCTAAAGAAAAATGTACATGATAATCTTTTCATTGCTTCATCCTGGTTTTTAAAACAGTGTCATGCCCAATATATCTTTGCAGTCTTTTTATGACAGCTAACAAACCACATACCTGAAACAAAAATGCTAGCTAATGAGCCACATCATATAGCGTGTCAGTGTCTACTGAGGAATTGACATCATCAATTTTTATTACTTTAATATACAGACCATCTAACACTTACAGACTTCAATATAATACTAGCTTAGCTGCCGCAGTATATTTAAGCATTTCAAAAACAGAGAAAAAGATAATTTACAACCATTTTTTTTTTTGATCACCTGGAAAATACCTTCCCAATGCACAATACCATGCAGATAATAATGATGGAGTAAAAGCAATGATCATCCAAGGTGACCCAAAAAATTACAGGACAAAAAGTGTCTCATCCTAAACTTGCTAAAACAGATCTATCACAGAGAGGTCAAGAGAAGATGCAACAAATGTTTGGGAAACATTTTAATACACAAACCTACCATCTAAATTCTTTTTCTTTACAGTATTCTCCCTTTGTGCAAAAAATCATGTATCTAATGTAAAATACATATGACAGAAAAAATATCATCAGCTAAAACCTTGGGGATGATGGATGATTTCCATTTCTAGAAACTAAATTTAGACTGCCAACCTGGAATCTGCTGCTACTGCCATTGAATGTCACAGAATTTCTTTCTCTCAAATTTACTACTGATACACACAAAGCCACATGACATAGCATACAGCCACAGACTAGTTTGCTTACCAAATTTTGAACCCTTTATAATTCTTGTAAGCTAAATAAACATATCTGAACACTCCCTAACACAACAGTGAGCCTGATCTCTGTGCAGTAATGCAATCTCAGTGCAACAATGAGAAAATAACAGGGAGCGGGGGAAAGAAATCAACAGTTATTCTAATACTCTGTCTCTAAAATGGCTGAGTGAGGATGAAGCAGAGATCAAATCATTTGAATTTATGTTACTCCCGCTGATCTACAAAGGCCACTTAAGTTAGTATCAAAGTCTAGGTACTGAAATGATAAACCCCTTATAAATAACTAGTCTGTCTCATAAGTGAAAGATTAGAAAGATAAGGGTACTACTCGTCAAGAAAGAAACATCTGAAGCCCTTCCTAAGTGGCCTTCTGCATATGACAGTGCACACATGGACTCAAGTTCCCTTTGACCACATGCTGCCTGTGCCCAACACAAGCCACCTCCGTGTGACTGCCCCAGTGTAGTGCTAAGCTCATGCCGAGCCCTTTGCACTCATTGCCTGTACGGTGTCTGAACTGAGTGGCCTGGTGTGGAGCGCAGACGGCCATTTTGAGCCTTTCTGCACCATTCAAGGTTGTTATCACCGTCATCGTCTTTTGGGCAAGGGGGGTGTGAACTCAAACAACCACTACATGAAGTAAGTGTCTATTTTTGCAAGTTTGGCAATGGCAGAAACCACTGAGGTCATGTTATACATCAGGAACTGTTTTTAAACAATCAAAAGTGCTACTGCTCACACAAAACATTAGCAAGATGGCTGTTTTACAAATAAGACACAGAAAAACTAGTGGTACCTTGGAAGAAATTAAAAATTTTTTGCTAAAATTTTAAAACTAAGATGCTCCCAACATAAAAAAGGCCATATATGTTAACTAATTTTAGGGGTTTGGCCTGCTAAATGAAATATATGAATCCACTGAAAAAGAACCACACTATAACATTTTAAAGACAGAATGCTTACCATAGTAGAATAAATAGGAAGTTCTTTAAATGGGTTAACAAGCAACAGTATATCACCAATGTAGGTCTGAAAAAAAAAGAAGATATAATTGCTTTACTAAGTAATAAATTAAATCTTTAAGGAGGCTAATGGTTTTCTTTCAGAAAGGACTTTTGGCAAAGGCTCTTAAATCTAGCTATCAACATACCAAACATAATCCACAAATTCAGAGCTTTTATCTTCATAACTTTAAATTGAGATCTAAATTTACAATTCAGATAGCATTACTTATTCTTTTTTTTTTAATAAAACTGAGTTCTTCATAATGGAAAATTATGCATAGTAGAATTGCACTCTATATATTATTGGTAGATTATTTGAAAGTTAATTGGCAATTTACTATTTGTTAAACTACAAAAATGTGACATGCCTACCAAATAAAAAAGCTCCTCAAACAATTTTTTACAGGATAGATGACAGAATTTAGAAATGCTGTACTGATTACTCAGAACTGATACATTAAAATATGTTGCTTGTGGGGTAAGACAGAGCAATTGATACATATATAAGTATTTATACATGTGTATATGAACATAGGTACATGCATATAGAAAAAAAATCCCGGCTATATTAAAAATAGCAAACCATCCACTGATTGCAAAGGTGCCAAGATTTTATTATTTCATATTTAAACACTCATATGTGAAAGATGTACTTAAGTATAAGATTGCAGGTCGCCCTTGCTGGTATACTTCTCACTCCACAGAAGTAGCTGCTGCCATATCATGCTCTTAGCAAAATGCCAGACCCCTGTCTCTGAAGGAGTCAGACAGCAAACCATCATGTGAACAGTCTCAGTCATGCTGCCTTTTTCAAAATAAAGTATTTTGACTTGGGGAGGCACAAAATATTGCCTTTCATAGTAAATGTACTGTTTTTCTTCTGAAATGCAGTAATTTATTTTGTCTCTCTCCCCCACCCCGACTTCACTGTTGGGTTTTCCTGCAGCATGGAACTTAATAAAGTTTGCTGAAACATGAAACAGGATGTGTTCAGTGCTAAGGAGGATTTTGGTTTGGAATTGGAGTCCAAGGACTTTTCCTTCTAAGTCTGAGAACCAAATCACCCAAACGTGAAAGGGTTTTTAGCATTGATGCTGACACTCTACCAAAGCACGGTGGCTGCTGTTGAGCAGAATATTAATGATCACTGCTTATAAATTTCCATTAAGCTAAGGAGAATGCCAGAGCAGGATATGAGATCCTCTTAGGTAAAATCTTCAGTATTTTAAAATAAAAGACTTCCTTTTTATAAATACTGAGTATCTGTGGATCCTCTTGAATTCAGTTAGAGTTATGTGTTTGGCACCTTTGAAAGTGAGATAAAGCAAAAGAAATAGTCATAATAAAATAGGTTTTGATCCATGATTCTAAAAACCAGAATTTTTATTATTATTGAATGCCATAACAGCTAGAATTGAAGTTCCCAAAATTTCAAAGGTATTCACAGCAACATGCCAGTTCCCCATATTCCTTTAATCTAAACAGGGCGATCAACTTATACATTTGAAAACAATTTGCATGCTTCACATTAACGTGCCACTCAGCTGTTCAGTAAGTTAGAAATAAGTTATGAATAAGATATGTACAAGGATACAAAAATTTTCAGGTGCAGATTTTTCTCCAGAAGTAATCTATGCCTAACCAGATGCCTCCCGAGTTTAATATGGCAAAACCAGGAAAACCTGCTTTACAGAAATCTTGCTATAATTATTTCATTTTGTATCTAGATGATTAAAATTAAAATATAGCGAATGATTTCTGTAATATAGGAACAGATAATGAATAATTAAATCCCCCATGCTGAATTCTAAACTTTTAAAATCTAATTTCTTTTAAATTTCCAGAAATCATGTTTCCATGAAATCTATTTCCAGAAATCTATTAAAATTAAGTTAACATAACATTAAAGATGGAAGGATCTTTTGGTAGTTTGAGAGGGAAGATTACATGTGCCCATCAATTTTTACCAATACACTCGCTCTGTGAAATAAACACATATAAATTTTATTCAAACCTATCTGAAGTGTTATTCCATTTTTTATTTCTGCTTTTCCTATAGAAACTTGAGAAAATGCACACATATGTCCTGATCCATTTAAATATTTGTCCTGAGTCAGGGGCAGGTTACTGTCCAGTACTTATGATAGTAATCCTATTTTTCCTATTCTCTCATTTGCTCTTTTTTGAAAGCTTACTGTTGATAGGTGAGTAGCAACTCACATATATCTGATTATTATTGAAACGCTTCTGAATCTCATAAAGCAGGCTGCTATCTGTTAGCTCACTCAGAGAAGCCAGGTCATCATTTGGAGCTGGAGGCATTAGCTTGATCTAGAAAACACAAATTAGAGAAATAAAGTAACTTCACAACCAGTCATTCTGTACTGTAATGTTCTAACCCAAAATATAAACCTAGATCACTAGAATTTATGTAAAAAAATGCATGAGGAAACCAGAAAGTTGTCACTCCTCCCAAACAATTATACATCATTAATCTTTTAAGCAAGAAAAGGACATAAAAAATTATTATCAATGTTAAGGTGTATCAGTGCATGAGTCTGATGGGCTCTTAAGAACACAGACCCCTACTAAGTGCCATTTGCTATCCCTGAACACATAAAGATTCCCAGCTCAAATGCAATTCTGCTCTCTTCATTAAATGTTTATGGCAGAACAAATCAAGACTATAAAAATTAGTGCACTTGTAAACTATTTATTGCACAGTATTTAACAAAGCTCTCATACTACTCTTCATCACAGAGCATTTAAAATTCTATTAGAATTTTTCCTGCAGAATAGAAGTTAATAAGATGTGGGAATCATGTTGTCAAGGAGACCAGAAGAGATTCAGAAGCTGTGACTTTAGCCAAAAGTGGTGAATGAAATGAGCTTAACATTTTCGAGATTTAGAAGGAATAATATAAGCCCTGCAAGGTAAAGTAAATGCTAAGGAAACCAAAACAAAATCCAAAAGACAGAATAGGAGGCAGAAGAAAAAAGAGTAAGTGATAAGTGAAATTGGATTAAAGACAAAATAAACATTGATACGTTAAGCAGTGTGCTTGTAAATTATGATCTCAACTTAAAACGCAAGTTGATTCCTTTTTTATGTCAGCCCGAAGAAAAACATTTTTGCATCTCAGCAGAATACCTAGAAAGAGAAAATTCTCATGTGAATGATGGTAGAACTATTTGAATCGTTTGGAGTTTACTAAAATACTCTCTTGGTGTCTGTTTGAGGATGGACAATGAAGATGGAATTCTTTGTTCTATTCTACTTAAGATGAAGGCTCAGGAGAAAAGCAGACACTGCCTTTTCTTGGAGAACAACTCGGCACCCTCAGCCTCTGGCAGTGGCACGTGGCAGGAATTCAGTGATAGAAGCAGCAAGCAGACGGGGAGATTTTGGAACGAACACAGTATTTAATACTGGGGAATCTGATCCCAAACTTCTGAACTTCTATTGATTCCATAGGTTCAAGGGCCAGTTCAGAAATCACAGTGCTTTGGGTTCTCTTCCTGCACTTGTCAGAGCTGCATGGTGTGATATTGCTGAAGAACTTCATCTTAATGAAATAAGACTAACAATCTCTCTTTGTCTCAATGTTTCCAGATTCTTGAAATGTACATACGAACACGTACACAGGTTGCCTGCTATATCTGTCTGTGTCTTTCTGTCTACCTGTTCTGCAGATGTATTCCTCACCCTATTAAAGTGAATGCAGATTTTTCTGTCATACAGAAGATGGCATTTCTTGCCTTTTTTTTTAATCATGGCAGTTCGATGTAAGGCTAGCTAGAATTCCACTCAGAAAAAAAACAGTAAATTACATTTTGACATTTGTTTTTGATGATGCACATTGAAATAGAACAAAATTAACAAAAAAATTTCAAGAACTTAAAAAAGTTTCTTGTAGAGGGAAAGCAGATGAAAGACTGAAGCCTGTGGCTTCCTTCCCTTATTAGTGTGTTCACCTGGCTCGCAGGAACAAAGCAGGCATAGGTCTTTACTATACTCCCTTGTGTGCTATCAAAACTCAGAACACCTGTGCCAGAGAATGAGCTTCTCTTAATCTATCTCTATAAAGATTAAACATACACTAGGCTAGAGATAAATGTCTCTATTTGTGAACAAAAGAGGGGTTTGGATTCAAACACTGCCTTGGGGTTCTCCATATTTTGTGAACTGTTAGCACACTTCCTTGTACGTTCTTGGCTCATGGCAGCTGGCACTCATGCAGATAACACCTGGGTATCATTCAGGTCACATGTCAATGGTCATTTCCCATAGGCTGTTTGGGCAAAGCCCCATCTTTTGAGGGAGAAGAGTTTTGTCTTATGGATGTGCATGGACCCATCCCACATATCCCTAGGCCAGAGAACAGACCCTGGCTTGTTTTTATTTCATAATCTAGGTATAGCCACAGATGCTGACTCTATACATAGCTGGTTAGAAGTATGAAGTGCTCAGTTAAAGTCCAAGTAAGGGAATTGAAATCTTTTTCCATTAACTTTTTTTTCTATGAAGTTTAGGATTTGGTGATTCAGCATTTTCTAACACTCTTTGCATCAAAATTCACAGCTCAATGAGCAAATAAATCACATAGAAATTAGAAACTCTAAATGCATTAATGTCACAACTAATTTGACCTGGGAGTAAACATGATTTACATTATGACAGTAACTTATTTGTGGGCTCCTTCAAATTCTATTCTTCTGTCTACTTTTCTGAGCATACAGATGAGTTTTCTCTATTTTTTCGCCTCCATGCGTGCATCTGGCTATCATACTGATTGCATGATGCATATTTTACAAGACATAAAAGAAAAATAGCCATAAATACAGTATAAGTTCCAATATAGCTATGTGTCTGGAAGTTATTAGTTTTTGAGGTTTTTGTAGTGCTAACATGAAGATTCCTATTTCCTCATTTAAATTACATATACTTAACAGCATTCACAATCTGCTCAGATAACAATCTCTAATGTTTTTTATTTTTTTAAATACTTGTATCACTGAAATAAGTATGCATTCTATCTCTTATGTGTAATATTATGATATACACAGTTGTCCCTTGTGTATGTGGTGATACTAGAACAATCAAAAGGGCACCAGGGGATACTCTATCACACAGTTCATATGACAACAATATGTAAACAAGAATTATAAGCCAAAGACAAAATATTTTTTTTAAAAAAGACCCAATTAAGAAAAAGAAAAGACTTAATCTATATTTGTTTGTGGCATGAAGCACATAATTCAATTCCAGGCCAGTAATTTCAATCTGCTATCAGAAAAATATCCTCCCCAGCTGAGAGGAAGAGAAATTGCCAGCTATGATAAAATTCTGGAAATTATTCATACTGCTTGCTTTGTTTGGCAGCACACACTTTGACATTACAGGTGATCAAAGAACATTTTTTACCTAGGAAAAAGCAAAAGATAATACAGGCCAAGAGAGACCAGACCCAAAATGCTTTATCAATGTAGTCATTTGATCCCCATCTCCTATCCCTCCTGTAACAAAAATCTTACTTCATGAGAAATAATATTTTGTTAAGGCTCTTTTTCATTATTTTTGCAATTAAAAAATCCTGAGGCTACGTATAAATTTGAGCTGTTAGTTTTCTCAAAGCCAAAAAAGTTACGAGCTTTCGCTATTAAAAATGCATGTTTCAGATGTAATAAGATGAAATTTTTCTCTCTGATCCCCCAATAAAGGCCTAATCTGCATGCCATATTGCCTAAGAATGTATGAAATTTCTGACACAAAGCATAAGAAATGTCATGCTGATCTATTTCAATAATATATGAACATAAAATCCAAGTAATCACTCCACATATCCTACTGAAAAATTAAACAGTACATGCTTACTTTGAATGTAGTTTGGAATGCAACTGGTAAGAATAAAAGATAGTGAAACTCATTAGAATTAGTATACCCAAGAGGCAGGGATAGGGGGAAGAGATTGTTCAAAGCTTTCCTTTGGTATCAGCACTAAATAAATTTTTACTTCCCAAACTGTGAAATAAAAAAAAAAAGTGTTACTTGGAAATATCATCTCTGAAAACTACGTTCTACATATTTTATATACAAATATGGATATAATATACATACACCTACAGTTCAGAATGAATGGCAAATAGTATAGAATACAGTCCCCATCCTCACAGGGTAACAAAAAATACATTAACAAGAATATTCAAAGTACACAGAAATTTTGGTCTTGATTACTTTTCTTCAACTATGGCAGTTTTTGCTGCTTCTTGATTCTTGGCCAGAAGCCAACTTGTGATAGGTATCTCATATTCCACAAGAGAAGGGAATGGAAGAAACAAAGCACTGCTCATAGTAAGCAATATGTTTAAGTTAGCAGCTTAATGCAGCTTAATGTTCTGTAAAACTGAGACTGCCAATAAATACAAGCAAGCAACATTAGCAAGAACATGCTGAAACAAGAAATACCTATGATGGAAAGGCCAGTTTCCAGGATCACAATTATGTCACTTCAAAAAAGAAAAAAACTCATATTTTCATTTGACAAAGTATGGGACTTCTTTAGTTTACTAAAATTAAATTGTTTCCTGAAGTGATTAAACTGTTTTACCCTCTTTTGTCCATAAAAGCCAAAGCTTATTTAGCCCTTGCCAACTGAAAAGTTCTGTTAATCTATGATTTTTTTTTTTTTTAATGTAACCAGTCATTTAAAAACACAAGAGCTGAAATAGCACAGTTTCTAACCTATCCCATGTTAATGCTGATTTCCCAGATAGGACTGTTCCTGCTTATTAATTTCCAAGAGAGTATCATTCCTTATTCAGCAACTGCAGATATTGGGTGAGGTTTGTAGTTTCCACTGCTTCTAAAAGACCACAGCATACACACGTTCCTTCTAGCTCGTGTAGAGCAGAATTTCACAGAGAGTTTTCTGCAGTAATTTCTCAGCTAATGGAGCTAAAAGAGATTCACCTTTAATTCTGCTGTCTTGTCTTTGAATTGTAACTGTTGTGGGAAGTTGCACTGAATGTATTGTGAAACAGCAGGAAGAGTAAAGTTTTGAAAACTTGCCTTGTGACCCTGAAGTGACTCTAGATCATGGTGGAGGAGAAAACTACCAGCCTGAAAACCTCTGGTTGCTCTTTCTCACCCGGGAGATTAGCTGCTCTTCTTCCAATCAGTTTCTTGCATATATTTTACTGCACAAACTGTAAAGCAAAAGTCTAGCCTAGAGATAATGAAAACTTGAATAATTTTAGCTAGGTCTGCACCAAAACAGATCCAAGCAGAAGGAAGTATATATGTTCTTGTCCACACTCCAGTTGAACATCTAGAAGCAAGTGATAGTCTCAGTGAGACCCTAAGCTAAACACCTTGCTCTCTTTTCCTACAATTATTGGAGGGTTGCTTCTAATAGGGTTGCAAGCATTTACTTTTCTGACTAGCAGTGCTTCTCTTTTGAATTGACTGTGTTTTTATCACATCACTGCACAGTCAGCAAGGCCAGGAATTTTATGACATGAAAATAAGATGTAAGCCAAGTGCAAAACACTTTGTGGTATCTTCTGACTGAAGAGGGAAATGAGTGCTGTATGGGATTTCAAAGCTGAGGACTTTCAGGGATGGACTTGTACGATGGACACATGAACTCACTGATTGATCTCATATGATTAACACATTCCTCTGAAAAGCATTCAAACAAAAAGCAGTGGAATGCGCATGATTCTGCCAAGACAGTTATGCAGGTTTTTTTGAACTGAACACAGTTTAAGTGGAATCAGTATCTTGCTCCTTTGTTATGCTTCAAACTCACAGTAAATTATTTTAAATGGAAAATCGCCCCTCCATCCCCCCAATTCTAAAGCAGTTTTTCTCTTAAATGGCTAAATACTTCTGGAATATGTGTTTCCCAAATACATGTAACAGAAAATAAAACCCCTTGTACCAAAAAAAACCCCCACAACCAACCAAAACAACATTTAAGTCTTAAACATTCGCAGTTAGGACATGCCAGATTTACAAGCAACAGATAATTGCCTCCCTTTGTATTCACCCTATACGCTGAATGAGATTGTGATCCTGCGGAGAAAACTGTAAAGGGATATCCAAATAATCAGTGCCTGTATCCTAATGCATTAGCACAAGAAAGGGAGTTAACAGTGCAGCTGTAAATCTGGCAATTCCGATCTTTAAATTACAGTCACTTTTTTTGCAACATAATATTCCTTCGACATTCTTTTTGTCTTTGCAGTCTCCCAGGTTGCGTTTCTTTCCTTTGTAAACCGAAGTTGGAGACAAGAGCACGCTTTGGGCAGCGCTAACACTTGTCCCTCCCCTGTTGAGAACCCTGAATAGAGTTGGAGGAGCTCTGAGCCCTCCAACTGCCACAGCCCCTGACCTGCCGCCAGCAGCTGGCAGGAAGCAGCTGTTCAATCTGCAGAGAGGGAACTCTTTGCAGGGCCAGACTGATTGCAGGGAGTGATCAAGGAGACAAGGCTCCACAGTGCAAATGACACTGCTGTGTGGTGAGGGGAAAAAAATTGCTATGGTCTTCAGCTTCATTAAGTTTACCATTTCCAGACCTAAGCCCTAACAAACGTTTCAAGAAACTGCATGCCATTACCTGTTCAAGTTTGGTTGTAGTGCTCACAGGGACATTTTCAGAAGCACTGTCTTGAGATTGCTGCTTACATAAGCCTTTAGCTGCATCTTTAAACATGGTGTCTTTCTCCAGCAAACTGTCTTGCTTGGCAATTGGTAAAGCCAGGGGATTGCTGCAAAGAGAATCAATAAAGCAATCAGACTCCTCCTGAAGATGTCAGACAAACGAAAGATTGCCAAATGCGGGTGGCAAAACCACAGAACCGATACAATTCAGGGCTGAGACACTAGTTCCTGGTCCAAGTACAAAAAAGAAATCGGTGAGAAATAAACTGTTTACATAGGCTGGTCTGTTCCCAAAGACACAGAGCAAAACACTTTGATTTAAAATTCACCTTTATCCATATCTTTTCTGAAGCAGAACTGAGCAAGCCAAAGAGAATATGCATGAGTCTGCTTTTGACAGCACTAGGCTGGCAAATCAATAGCCAATTTGGAAACTGAATTTAAAATACACAATTAACGTACACAATACTGTTTTGAAAAAGAATATGTTTTAAAATAAGTCAACACAGATATTGCCATTGCGGTTAATGAAATTAAATTTCACCACTTTTTAGCTTACTTTTAATCAGACAATATCCAAGATATATTTTATGACCAAAAGCTGCTTTGAATTTGTGATATGCTAAAAAAACCCAAGCAAACGGCAGACTCCTGAAATTACTGCAATGATACACAATACTCTTCACATATAAGTTAAACCTATTCTTACATGCATAGAGAGGTTTTTCCTACTGACACTTCAGACCATATCACACTTCTGAAAAACAACAATGCCAAAATCTTGGATGATTTTGGCAGTGTTTTACATCCAGAGGAATTAGCGAGGAATCAGCACCAGGAGCTGAGAACACAAACAGCTTAAAAAATAATCGTCTGGGCTCTGACAGTGCATATGAGACAATCTCATTGAGTATACAGCAGCTCCTTGCCAAAATGTGTGCATAATTTCTTTGAAAGGAAATGTGGATTCAATGTGGGAATGTGGGAATAGTGCATTCCACTATGGGATAAAGCCCAGATGTCAAACTTAGTTAAAAAAAATTTTCATTTCTACTCTAAGTTACTTGAGTTTGATTACTGATTATAATAAAGCCAGGATTATACACACAGTTAACTCAAATGAAATGAAGGAGGACCATACCTAACATTGATTTCCATTGTTGTTGGAAACAAAACTGAAACACAGACATAGTTTTAGAAAGGTACAGTCCTAAGCAACGGCAAAGCACTTTCCAAGCAGAATTCATTGGAAAACAAATCAATGTAGTTTCCCATTGGAAAAAAATACATGAACAAACCCTTTCTTTTGACAAAACCCTCAGTCTGCAAACATCAAAAGAATTCGTTTCAACATTTTGTAATGAAATATATACAATTTCCTTTCTAATGATGTTTTGCTTTAGACATTTTAATGTACAATGTCTAGAGGAACACTAGTGAAAATATTGGGTTTTTTTACTGCTTTGATTGACCTAAGATAAATTTGCCATAAATTTGTTTACCAAATGTCACATGGACAAAAGATCCAAGAGCCAACTGGTTTTGCCTTTTTTCTTGATTTGGATTGCAGAACAGAAAAGCCATTAGCCAACTCTTTTCATGAACTTGGCAATTAGACGACATAGAATAAGAGATATCAGTGATTAGACGGTAGAAGAAATGAAATAGCTGTGACACCCACAAGCAGAAATGTCTTATACTAATTCACATTTTACCCAGGCTCAGAATTGAACAAAACATAATTAAATACAAAGTTTTCTTTTTGAGTAGTCTTTTGCTATTGTCCAAAACTGCAAAAATTCCTTTGGTCTGAATTATATTTAAGATTTAATCACAGACAAAGAGAAGAGAGATTTAAAGAAAGGTATAAGCCAAATTAATTCAACTATTAAAAACTGAAGCACTGCCATTTATAACTTTTTATTATTCATGTGATGTTTCTTTTAAATTGTGAAGATCTAGGATTTTTTTGCTGCAAAGCTGAACCTTACCCATTTAATCTTACCATTTTTGCGTTAACTACACAACACACATTAGAAACACTTCTTAAAATTCAGCTGTGAACTCCTCGCAACCAAATAAGCTTTTTAGGTGTCATAAAAGAGAAGTAGGTTGTAAATCACAGCAAAGTGTGGGGAAAAAAGGTACCTACTGTTTCCATAGATGCGTTTTGAACTTAAGAGGACAATAATAACATGACTTAACAGGCGTGTTCCATGTGTTGATGTACAGGAGAATAGCCTATCAATTATGTACATTTGTGAGATATTAATAGGACTTTTGATAATGGAAATGCTGACATATAATTCATATTACAACAAAAATGTGAATGATTACAAGAAAGAAAAAACTTATTAAAATTACTCCAACAGTTCATTATGACTCATGTTCAAGAAGACATTGTGAGAAATAAAACAAACCGAAAGAAAATGTTTCCAGAAAACAGTGGTGTTTTAGAAAAATATTTCTATTAACATTCATATGTATTTCTGCCAGTCACAAGATAAAGTCAAGCAATGCCATTGAAAACTGAACTACAGGACAGCACAAGAAAAGATTTTATGTTAATGTAGGCAAATGGATTAGCATGAAGTGTCTTCTTTTATGAAAATTAATGGATAATTAATAGATAATTAACCACAAAGGGAGACTTAAGCCAAAATAATGTTGCATAATAGACAGGAGGGAGAGTTATCTAGGGTAATCTGATTTGAACAAGGTAAGACTGTTGCTATTGGCATACCTAACTGGGAAAAACTCTTGCATGTTATATGGAGGAATAGTCATTTTAATATTTAGGTGTATAAGTCATCATATATGGAATGAATTTGAAGTTTGTGTAGGGTTTTTTTTAGATAAATAGATGCTTTTCTGTAAGTTGCCATCCTCTAGCATGTCCTTCTTTTTAAGAAAAAAGAAATACAAAAACCTGGGAGCTGCCAATCAAATAATTGGCAGTTTTATCATCAATATTTGAATTACTACTGCAGCTTATAGCTTGGTAGAAAGATGTTATAAAAAGCATTATATCAAGGCAGATTCTGCAATGACATTTTCATGGGCTCTTTGAGCTTATAGCTTTTGTTGGAGAGAACTTCTGTTACTGTAATCCTTCTGCAGGCAATTCTGAGATCCTCCAAACAATTTCTAAGCCAGTTAACATCTGTAAACTGCATAATCTCTGAAATTTCAGTCTAAAAAACTTTTTAAAGTTACATAACAGAAACTTCAGAATGGATTAAACACTAGAAGAGTGTTGGAAACAACTAGAATAATTGAGATGCAAGTTGCTACATAAATGGTTAAATGGAAATGGTCTGTAAGAAGAAAAATGTAATCTCTTTTCTGCTTTGTTGTCTCAAACATATCTGTGTATATTCTATCTTACTTTACACTCTTCTGCTGTTTTTGAAACACATCCATTACTATAATTAATATTTACTTACTTAAATATGTATCAGAAAATATATAATGTGATTAAGGTAGCATTACTTTGAGAATAAGTTCCTAATTTTGTAGTATTTATTACTACCTAGATGACTGCACTATCTGTGGGCTTAGGGACTATTTCATCAAGAAGAGTTCTACAAGTACATGTACTAAACTGGATGTGCAGTAGTGATCATTGCAGCCATATCACAAGTCTAAAGTCACCTTTAAACAGATACAGCCTATTTAATTGCCTGAACTATAAGCTATGTCAATTAACGTATTCTGGTGCAGGTACTTTTTCCAGTGGAGTAACAGAATTTCTTCTGATTGTACCACTAGAATTAAAACTGGCAAAACTTTACAGCATAGACCTTAGGTTTGCTGCATTGGTCAACCTTCAAACACCTCATGACATTAGTAAAATTCTGTCCTTTAGCTAATTTACTTGGTCAACCTTCAAAGAAACTCATACTGGTAGAAAGGAAAGACAAATGTTGATTATATGACAATGTGGTCTCCAATATGAAACCAGCTCCCTGCTCATTGACCTCTACTGCCACCCATTTTCATGGGCTAGGTTCTACCATTTTATTCATATATGATAATGCTTTAGCAAAACAGTAAGAAACACTCAGATAAGGTGGTAATGCATTAATTAATAATGCATCACAAACACATTTGTAAATCCTTATAATGAGATGCTGTAAAAATTTATACCATGCAATGAACAAAGTGCATTTCCTGCAAATTACTGTACTGGGCATAAGCTGCAAGGTTTTGGTAGCAAAGGGGCTGCAGGGGGGTCTCTGTGAGAAGAGGCCACATGCTGCCCCATGCTGGATACAGTTGATTTCAGACGGCCCTGCAATGGACCCACCACAGGACACAGCTGAGCCCATTGGCAAAGCTGGTGGTGCCTCTGTGAAAACATATTTAAGAAAGGGCAGAAAATGCCACAGGGAGAGAAGAAGAGGGAACAAAAAGAATCAGAAACAAAAGAGGGACCACCAAGGTCAGAGGAGTAGGAGGTGCCCTACATCAGAGCAGACACCACCACCCTACGAAGTAACTTCAGTTATTTGTCTCTGCTGCTGCTTCCTTCTCGCTCTTTTCCTGTGTGGCACATGGAGGAGCCACGCTGGCAGAGGTACACCCCTGGAATGACTGCAGCCCGTGGATAGGTCCACACCACAGCAGATATTTCCCTGAAGGCACTGTGGCCCTTGGAGGAGCTACACTGGAGCCGGTACACCCCCAAAGGTACTGCAGCTTGTGGAGGACCCATGCCAAAGCACAGGAAACAAGCAAGAAGGAAGGAGTTGCAAAGAGAAATAACTGCAACCCTGCCCTGTTGAATCCTGAATCCGTCACTGAAGGGATTAAGTGTAACTTGCAGCAATAACAAGGGGGAAAAGAAGAGGTGCTTGGAGTGAAGTTAAGCTTCAGAAAGATGTTTTCCCTAAGTGTATAAATGTTTGCTTCCTTTTTTGCTTTCCTTTTTCAGCAGTATAAATCTAACGACAAATTTGTAACTGCCTGGACCTGTATCATTTTATCTGTTATTGCACATATTATTTTTACTTTCAGGACTTGTCCCTGCTTCTCTCATAAGCAATGGTAGTTTTACTACACTATTCCCATCTACCTTAATAAAAGGATGTTTGGGTCTACAGTATTAACCTCTAATAATTCTGCTAAGGCAACCACAGATAATTTTACTGGCAATTATAACAATGTATTTTATTACTCATAATCTATATTTATAGAATTAAGATTGACAAAAAGAGATGAGTGACACAAATACAAAAGATGATTCAGTAGTTTTCCAAAATGAAAGTTACTTGACCCATCAAATCGCACAGAATCACAGAATCACAGAATGCTTGACTTTGGAAGGGACCTCTAGAGGGCATCTTGTCCAACCCCTTTGCTCAAGCAGGGACACAAAGAGCTGGTTGCCCAGGACCACGTCCAAATGGGTTTTGAATACCTCCAAGGACACACAGACAGAATTCACAGATTTACATATACAGTTCAAATGATAATCTGGCCTCAGTGCATCAGTCTTAACAACAGAAACACTTACAGTTTACTGGAAATTGTGGGCAGATCATGGATGATCTCTTCATATGGCTCTTCTTGAGATAAAGTAGAAACAGCTAAAGGGTCTTTCATTTTTTCCTCCCAAACAATTTCAGCCTTCAGAAGCATTTCCTCAATAAACTCAGAAGCTGCAACATCTAAGACATTGGAACACCAAGATATCAGACAAAGAAAACAGTGCAGAAAAGCTCCTTTCAGTTCAAATCTCTAGATCGGATTAAGATCAAACATCTGGCTAGATAAAATGAAAATAATTGCTCAGATATTGATCATAAAATAATACTTGAAATTACTAAGAAAACAAAGGCAAAGAAAATTCAGTATGGAATTAAGTTGTCATTTGCAAAATGTCAAAACCATTCTCACTGTTTAGTGAACTGAAGTATTATTCAATAATAGGACTTCAGGAAAAGCAACACAACTGTTTTCAACTCTGTATTTCAATGAAAACATGTACTGAAATCCTTTTCAAACCTTTTACATTTCTACAAACTAGAGGTATATGTCTTGCACATACAGAAGTGCTGAAATCAGTTGTGTTTGCAGACTGGAAGTATAGTTAACTCAACTGTGTTAAATTCATACTAAATGTGGTTAGCTGGCTGTATTGTTAGATAATCTCAGTTTAGTCCATAGCCTTTTATACAAACAAAAACTGGCATGTATCTAACCACAAACAACTTTCCTGAGGTTAAGTGTCATGAAGTTCCCTGTGAGTGTATTTGTAGGTGGCACATTATTTGAGGCATAACATATCTCAGTGTAAGTATTATGCAAAGGAAGTTTCTGCTCATAATCTGACAGAAAGATACTATTTTCTACATTACTGGTTTCCTTCTTCATTTTATCCTAGGCATAGAAGGTTGAACAACCATATATTTCTTCTCTCCAATGCTGCTACCTAGCATTACTGCATTAGCCCTGCTTTGATCACTGGGTTAGACCAGTTGACCTGAAGTCCCTTCCAACCTAATGTATTCTATAATTCTGCTATCTTTAGAGCCAGTGCTTCAGCTCCCTGTTGCTATCTGGTCTAAGAAGGTGCCTTCTTCTGTGGGAAACAACAGGTGTTACACTTGAAAACTGGATGGTGAATTTGTTTTCAGTCAACAGCTATAGAGATTCCAGTTCATGAGGCTATGTATTATCATCAGTTGAGACAGAGAAATGAACTCATTAAGAAGTCACCAAGGAAGTGTAAATGCAGCTACCACCAAGGCACTGAAGAACTTACAAGGAAGAAACATAACTAAAAATAAACAGGGAATGCAACAAATGGAAAAACATGCTATCACGTGATATGACATCCTGCATGATCTTGACTAGCAGTTCTCAGCAATATATGACAAAACGTATGTACACACACGCATATGTGTATATAGCTCTACACACTATATAAACTATAAGTATACACATATATATATGTGTGTGCCTGTGTGTATATAACTAAGAAAGCAAGAAGGAAAGAAAACAGTGTCACAGTAACCCATACATACATAATATACATGGATTTTCACCTACCTGAAGGCTTTTCATTATTGCAATTTAGAAGATTGGGATTTGCCCAGTGCATCAAGAGCAGCTTCACAAGGTTAGTCTAAAATGGGCAAAAACAGAGGTGTTTGAAATGGCAGAAGTAGGACAGGAGCAGTATACTTGTCGTTCCGTTTACTCATTCCTTCCTGCACTAGCTGAAATCATATGATAAACCATAGGCAACACCTCCAAAACACCACCTTCTGCAGGTACTACAGACATTGGTATATATCATAAAAGGCAGAATAAAATACAGTTCTTGTATGATTTCAGCGTACCCTCAGCATAACTCCACCCCCAAAGTCTCCATCCTTACACGTGTAAAAAAATCCGCATCAGTAAAGAAAAAAACTAACCCTCCATCACCACCTGTCATGACTTAGATCACAAATATTTCTTTATTCCTAACTAATTCAACATCTGTGAACCTTCACTGCCAAAGGGGTCTGACTCACAGCCATTCTGGAAGTAAATCTGTTCTCTGTCAGTAGTAGAAATGGGCACATTTATCTTATGCTTACCAAATCCATTTAACGTATTAGTAATGGTAGCAATTATAGTAGAGTATAGTTGGGTAGAGTATCATATAATGAAAAAGTCTAAAACATATTTTTCAATTCCTGCAAGAATGCTGCAAGCAACTGTTTTTAGTGAGCTCTTCTATTGCTGCACTGAAGTCTAGAAATAATTCTCCATCAAAGGCTGTAGTAATGTCTACCCTGATAAACTGGTTGGTCAGAAAGGAGGAATAAACTGCACAAGGAGCAAAAAATATATTTAGAATATGACTATAGAGCTCAACTAAATGAGAGAACTGTTTGCACTTTTGGATACATGCTAAAGCAAACAGAATTTATAATGTAAATATAACCAATAGGGGAGGCCAGGATGAGCACAGGAGAAAGTAAGCTGTGCAGAAAAGAAAGGATTCTTCAAGCAGAAGAAGAGAGCTACAGATAAATAAGACCTGAATTGGAAGGCGGCTAAGGGAAAGGATAGTAATTTGGCATCAAAACAAGCAATAAATAAATAAATGAATAAAGGCTGAAAAGGAAGGAAATCATTGCAATAAAAATAACAAAATTCAGTATGGATTCAGTGCACAGGAGGCGACTTACTACAAAAGACCATGATAAGGAGGAATCAGTTAAATGCAAAAAAACCCCCAAACTTCTAATCACAGAAAACCAGGAAAATATTGTTGCAAATTTCTACAGAAATAAAAAGATCTTGCTCTCCTCAGCTTTCTAATGCTTTTCCATTCTGACAGTAACAGCAGAAAATTCAGTAAACTGTGGAAGCAGGGAGGAAGCCATAACAAGTTTATTTCCAAATCCAATTAGCCCTGCTTTCAACTGAGAACCCTGAACACATATATCTCTATGTTTTTTCATTATGAAAAAATGGAGCATACTTAGTCACTGAGCTGACTAAATCAGCAGCAGTTGCATAATCTCGTTAACAGTCATTCTGAAAAGTGGTACTGGTTCTACCAAAGGAGAGGGGTTTTAAATGCACTTTCAGTTTACTAACATTATACAACTTTTTGGGTTACCAAAGTTCTGGATTTATGATGCAATAAGTCCCTTCCATGCTGCAATGTCAATGCTTCCTGCTGCCAAAGAAATAACTCCTGCTGGAAATCCTTGATGCACATCACCAGGACTAAAGTATCCAGGTCACTGCTAATTTCAGTTACCTGCTTTTGGATACACGAAACCGTCTGTGTTAGTTTTAACCTCATTCACTTATGTTTTAGAAGGAGTATTTTAAAATCCAATTGCCAGATCTTCAGAACTGTGCCTAACAGTAGAAATATTTGTAGAGTAATTACAGCAAATTATCACTATCCAAAAGTATTTCAATTGCAGAGTTACAAATAAAGTAGATATGACTATGTTAAGAGAAACTGCAATATCTAATGAAATATTATAGACCCTAAGAATAAAATGGCTATATATTTTGATTCTTATTTTCCAGTGTTGTCTTTGCCAATTCATACAAATGAAGAAGCCAGAAGCTTTTTCACCAAGCCAGAAGCTGCTTGCCCTCATTTTCAAAGGCCTTCATAAGCCTTTCATGCTTTATCTATTCCCATTCATTCAGCATTCAGACTCCAGTTCCCACTTCACATCAGTCTGTGATACATTTTCCAGTACTTATTTCTGTGCTTTTTCTAGGCACCTTATACTAGTAAGGAAGTCTTCAAAACATCTGCAAAACTACATCGTAAACCTTTGTTCACAGCCTGTTCTGATGTGATGCTTGCCAAACAGAAAAACGAGTAAGGTGCTGCCATTTCACCATTCAGGTGGATTGGAAAATGGCTCAATGGCTGGGCCCAGGGCATGGTGATGAGTGGCAAGAAGTCTAGGTGGAAGCCAGTAACGACCAGTGGACCCCAGGGATCAGTACTGGGTCCAATCCCATTCAACATCTTCATTAATGTTCTGGATGATGGGGCAGAGTGCTTCCTTAGCAAGTTTTCAGGTGACACCAAACTGGCAGGAATGGCTGATACGCCAAAGGGTTGTGCTGCCATCCAGGGGAACCTTGACAGGCTGGAGAAATGGGCTGACAGGAACCTCATGAAGTTCAACAAGGAGAATTGCAAAGTCCTGCACCTGGGGAGGAACAACCCCTGGCACCAGTACATGCTGGGGGCTGCCCAGCTGGAAAGGAGCTTTGCAGAAAAGGACCTGGGGGTTCTAGTAGACACCAAGTTGAACATGAGCCAGCAATGTGCTTTGGCCGCAAAGAAGGTTAATGGTATCCTGAGATGCATTAGGAGCACTGTTGCCAGCAGATCAAGAGAGGAGATTCTTCCCCTCTACTCAGTACTGGTGAGGCCACACCTGGTGTACTGTGTCCCTTTCTGGGCTCCTCAGTACAAAAGAGACATGGATACACTGGAGAGAGTCTAGCAAAAGGCCACTAAGACGATTAAGAGACTGGAGCATCTCACATATGAGGAAGGGCTGAGAGAGCTGGGACTCTCGAGGCTGAGAGAACTGTGACCTCTCTTGAGGGAGAGGATTCTTCCCTTCTACTCCGCTCCCGTGAGGCCCCACTTGGAGTACTGCGTTCAGCTCTGGGGCCCCCAACATAAGATTCTGATCTCCATCAGAATCAATTTGTTAGGAAACTTTTAACACTTTGAATATTTATAGACAGGGGAAATTCTTAATGAAAATATATAAAGAAAGATTATATTAATTACAGCTTTACAAGATTAAATAAAAACGGTTTTTGTGCATGTAAAAACTCTGGGCTTGATAAGCAAGACAGAATGCATGATCAGATGTGCAGGCAGACCACCACGGTTATACCAAAAGAGCTAAGTTGGGTTTTTTTTCCAAAATAGCAAATGGAAAAAAAAAAAAAAGCAGCCTGCCTACAGTGAACCTGAGCTTTAGTTCTCCAAGGAAACATTACAAGGAAATGAAGTGCAATTCACATTAATGGGAGCAACACTTACTGTCCAGGAGCTACAAAAACATTCACAGATGAACAGAGAAAACATTGACTGGACATGGGAGCATTGGAATTGAACAGTTCTTTAAATCTAATGAAACATAGAGTGCAACACTGAAAATAAAAAGCTGTTAGGGGAAAAAAGAGCATAAATAAATTTACTGCAATAGGCACTTTATAAAGCCTTCAAATACAATTTCCCCCTGCCAAAAAAGGGGCTAAGTTTTACCACACATTAAATGTTAGCTAAGAAAGCCCAATGCTCAGTTTCACAAACCACAGGCTTAAGAGCACCAGTGTTGGCCAGCTGACAGACTGTGAGGCCTGTTGCCACAGATAAGTGACTGCAGTGACAGGGTAGGAAATATGAGGCATGAAGGAGTGACAGAGATTCCTCAAGAATCTCCCTACATACTTGAGGCTGCAAAGGCAGCTCCAAACTGCTCTCAAGCCATGTTAGTTTTACTGCTAGTGAATTAGCTGGGGAGCAGAATCAGTGCTCCTGAAAAGTGTCTTCCTCTCCTGTATGGTCAGACATTTTCCTCTGAAGTACTGCACAGGACGCTAGATCTGTGCCAGCAACTGCAAAGGATAAGCTGCTGGCTCTGGATGAGCTTTGAACTCTTGAGTTATTATCCAAGTCCCAGTGCCACTACCTCGGATCATTTATTCCCTTTACCCTTGGAGAGAGACCTGCTTAAGTTGTAAATTCAGAAAGCTGGAGATTTTATGCAAATGTCCTGATGTGCTACTTTGCACAGCAATGAATATGCATCATCCAATTTGCATGCACTCCAACAGTAAATTCCTTCAGTCCTTCACTTTTCTTCCCTGTCAAAACTAACATTTCTCTCCACTCCTCTCTTTCTGTTTCAAAGCTGCACATTTCCTACCATCCTTAGTGACCTGATTCACCATCCATGTTTTGTTCACACAGCCCCATCATTTCTTCCTCCTCAGACTCTTTTTTCTGTGTTTCTTATATCTGAAACTCTCAACTCCTTACATGTATCTCCTCAACTTGTTTTATTCCACTCTTTTATAGGTGCTCTTATTTCTTTTTTGGGACAATGCTATTTTTCTTTTCCTTCTTGACATGCATTCCTCAGTTCTCTTTGACTAAGGCCTTCCCACTCTCTTCCTGGAATTTCCTTCCACCTGCTGTGACTTCTCAGGTTTCCACTCCATTTTCTCTGGATATGGTCCCCAGCATGCTTTCATCCACAGTGAGACAAAGCCATGTAATAGGAAACCAGTGGATCAACAGCCTTGGATCAAAATCAGTATTATTTTGGACCATCAATCTCAGAATAGTGTGTGAAACACAGTGAAATCCCCAAGTATTATTTTAATATCTAAGGTGCTTATCCATTAAACACAACAAAACCCTAGGCAGAACACATAAAATACCATTGGCTACACCATTATTACCTGCAGTCTTCACCACTGAGTAAGATGGCCTACATCAGCATTCATAAGAACCAGTTTTCAATTGCTTATAAGGCTAAACTTTACTTCACTGGGTTGGAAAAGTGCATGTTTACCGCACTGTGTGATTTTTGTTAGGCAGTATGCTAGGATTGCTGC